GTGTGCGATTCCGTGAGACGAAAAAAATTTCAACTTCCGTATTCTTTTCTAATAGCCGTCAGTCGGTCGGACGTGTGTATCTCTAAGAAAAGGAAGGAAATTTTGTACGTCCGCACCCGATGACTTTTAAATAAAGGAGTAATAATAATAATAATAATCGTAAGGGATAAGTAAATCCCGGTGACACGTCAAACGCACGCACGCAGGCAGGCAGGCACGCACGTCACGCAAGCGAACGCGATGTTGAGAGAGAGAGAGAGAGAGAAAGAGAAAACGGTTTCGGTTTGTTGAAGATGCAAAAAAGGGAAGATTGATTGATTGATTGATTGATTGACTGATTGATATTATTTTGTTTTTGGTAAAACCGTTTCAGGAGACACGATGGAACATCCGAGGCAGAAAAAAGGTTTTTTTAAAAATTTCTGGAAGAGGTCGAGACATTATTCGTTAGATCGTCAGTGACAGTACAGACGCATAAGGAGCCCGAGTTGTCTTTGTTGCGCTCCTACCGTTTATCCAGAAGACACGTTCGAGTCGGAATTTTGAAGTCGATGGGAAAATCGAACGTGTGTTGTCGATTGTATATAATATCATATTGAGCATATGGGATGGAAAGGAAAAGGAAATGGGAATTGTCATCACGTGTGACGTGTAAAAGTGTAAGTTAATAATAATATAATAAACTCCGAAAAAAAACACAAACACACTGCCCGTTGATTAATAATAATGATAATGATAATAATAATAATAATAATAATAATAATAATAATAATAATCAATATAATAAAAATATTAATATTAAGAAGAATGATTAAAAAAAAAAACATTAAAAATTATTTAAAATTTTTTTTTTTTTTTCGTAACGTGGACGTGATTAATAAACCGAATTTAATGAATATAAAAATTTTTCTAAATTTTTTCCCAATCAAATTTTTCGTGATAAAGACAAAAATAAATTTATATTATTAATAATGATGATGATGATAATGATGATGATGACGATGTGATAAAAAAAAAAAAAAAATGAAGATCGACCGCGCCGACCAATCGGGTGCTTGGGGAGGCCAACGACATTTTTTGCGGTCGATTTTCTTTCTTTCTTTTTGTTTTTCTCGTAAGTAATATTATTATTATTATCATTATTATTGAATAATTTTTTCACTTTTATAAAGTTGCGGTACGAGGGTTTACATCACCATAAATATAAATTTCATTTACAGGTACGTGTGCGTGCGTGAGTGTGTGCGTGTGTGCGCGAGAGGAAAAATTGAAAGACGAAAAAATAATAATAATGACAATTTCTTTATAATGCGTCGATCGAGGTGTGGTAGTGAAACAGAGAGAGAAGGGGGGGGGGAAACGAGAAGGTGAATGCGTGCGAGAGAGAGAGGAAATTATGGAAATAATTATTTTAAAAAGAGAGAAAATGATGGAAATTATGTAATAATGACGTAATCACCACCGCCACCTCCTTCATTTCCTTCTTCCTTTGATTTCTCCTTATTTGACGTAATTAATATAATCATCACGATAATCACCTGATGACGATGATGATTATTATTATTATTATTATTACGGTGGTAGTGTGTGTGTTTTGCCTTTTTTCTTTCTTTTTTTTTGTTTTTTTCCGTCTTTTCCTCCCCTTTAAAACGGAATCGTCATCATCGTCACGCTCCCATTCGCTCACTCAATCAATCAATCAATCAATCAATCACGAGTAGTGTAAATTATCATAATAATCGTCATAGTTTAATTTAATAAAAATCATTTTATTATTTTAATTAATTTTTTTTTTTTTTAATATAAATTCAAAAATACAAAGCCTACAAAAAAATTTTTTTTTTTTTCTTAATTAAATTTAAATTTAAATTAAAATTTTTTTTTCTCCTAAATATATATATATATATATATATTATTTAATGTTTACAATAATATAATATAATACGATTCCAATGTATAAAAAAAATCTAAAAAAAAATTTTATTTTATTTATTTAAATCAATTATTATTATTATAAATAATATCTCTATATAAAATGTTTTCATCATCATGACACTGACTGATTCCAGCCTCTCTCTCTCTCTCTCTCTCTTTCCTCCCTCCTCTCCCTCCTTCCCCTTCCTCCTCCTACTTCCTACTCTCAAATTAATAGCAGAATGGTAATAATAATAATAATAATAATAATAATAATAATAATAAAATTAATCTCTGGAGGCCGTCAATCGTCGTCAATGTTTTCTCTCGTTTCCCCTCCCTCCCTTCCGCCTCCCCTCTCCTCATATTTCTCTCTCTCACTCACACAATCTTTTTTTTTTCCAACATTTTTTCAAGTATTTCGTTTGATTTATGGTTCCAGAAAACAAAACAAAAAAAAAATGGTTTCCAGCTTGTTTTTTTTTTCTCGTGATAAATAAATAATACTAATAATTTTGGAGTGCTGGACTAGACAGTAATTAATAATTTATAAATTTATACATTTTTTTAAGTGTATCAGGCAAACATGAGAAAATGAAGGTAGTGTAAAGAGTAAATTAAAATTTAATCAATAGATTCCGGCTTAAAATCAAGAAATATACGGGAATTTTAATTTTCACTTGAAAGTTTAGATTCATTTTATGCAAATATTTTTAATACTTTTAATAGCAAAATACGTTACTAGGTATCAGGCAAACATAAGATAATGGGAGGTGTAAAATAAAATACAAACAATTGAGTATTTTTTTAATACTTTTATTGGCAAAATATTTTAAAATGTAACAGAAAAACATAAGAAAAAGGAGGTAAAGAGTAGAATAAAAATTAAATCAATGGATTCTCACTTAAAATCGGGTGTACGGAGAGAAAAGAAAGAGAGAGAGAGAAAGGGCGAAAGAAAGAAAGAGAAAGCAAACTGAAATCACATAGGCTTATTCATTTTATTAAATACAAAAAATGGTCGCATTTTCTTGGTTCCACACATTTAAAAAAAAAAAATTATAATATTGATAATAATAATAATAATATTTATAATAATAATAATAATAATAATAATAATAATAATAATAATGATAATGATAAAACTGGTCCATTTGATTGAATAGATTCAAACGACATTATTAACATTTCGATTTTATTATAATAGTTTAATAATAATAATAATAATAATAATAATAATAATAATAATAATAATAATAATTATATTAATTAATAAATTTAAAAATTAAAAAAAAAAAAAAAAACCTACTAAAGCACACGCACAAAACATGTCCAATTTAATAAGAATCAAAACACTTTACCCCTTACCTCCCTCCCTCCCCAACCAACCCCCCCACGACCCGGTTTCATCATTTCCCCTCCTTGATTTACATTCTTTTTCCCCCCTCCCCATTATTCACTCGTTTTTACCTTATTCTCGAGATTAAGTTGACGCAAAATACAAAAAACAAACAAACAAACGAGAAAGAAAAAAAAATGGCGAGTTTAACAGTTCGTAATCACTCCCCGCATTCCCCCCCCTTTTTTTTTAAAAATTTTACAATGCAAAAAATAAAAAACCAATCAATCAGTCAAATCAAACAATCGATCGATCAATCAATTAATCACCGAACTTTTGTTTTGTAGCCGAAAATTTTTTTTAAAAAATCCGTTTCGAATTAAAGATTTTCTTCTTCTTTTGTGATGCCTCGACACTTACACACGCAACTTTTTTGTTCGCACTTTTAGAAAAAACGCGACGCGATGCGACGCACGCACTCGCGAACGTGCGTACACGCACGTTCGCGAGTGCGACGTTTTCAAATCTTTTTTTCATTCATTTTTCAAAATTAAAAATAAAAAGCGTTTCTTTAAAAAAAAAATTTTTTTTTTTTTGCGATTTTTCTTTGCATTATTATTACTTTTTTTTTTTTTTTTTGGTTTCTCCGTTATAAATTTATTAATTTCATATTAAATTAAAATATTAATAATATTAATAATAATAATAGTAGTAGTAGTAAAAATGTTGTTGCCCTTAAACTTGATTTGTAATCCGTTTTGCCTCTCTATTGCCTCTTTTTACCTTTTTCTTTTTTTTCTTCCATTTTTAAGTCTCTCTATAGTTTTATGTATAAATTTCGTTTAGGTGTGTGTATGAGTGTGAGTGTGAGTGTGTGTGTGTGTGTATGTGTATGTAGCTCTTCTTTTATTTTCATTCAGTTTTTAATGCCTTGGATTGTGAATTGACCTCAGTGATTCTCGCCTTTTGCCTTTTTTTTTCTTTTTTGTCTACCTGCAACAAAAGAAAATCATCGCGAATGTTCGTTATCGTTCGGATAATTATAAAGGAGAAAAAAAATTGATCGTTGGACTTTTTAAGTAAGTAACTGGTCAAGAAACAACAACAACAACAAACAAAAGACTAAATAATGACGATCTCTCTAACGATAAGCTAATGACCACAAAACATAGAAAAGAATATTATTATTATTATTATTATTATTATTATTATTATTATTATTATTATTATTATTATTATTATTATTATTATTATTAATGGAATTATCGGAGACTACTTCTTTTTTTTTCTTCTAAAGCCTAAAATTATTTATCGATGAGGTTTTCACCTGTTGATTGATTGATTGATTAAATAAAATTTTTAATCGATTTGTAGAACACCTCATAGGATTGATTTCAACGTATCGAATCGACAAGTTTGTTGTTAAAGTCAAAGAAAAGAAAAGAAAAGAAAAGAAGAAATAATAATAATAATAATAATAATATCTGGTTTTCCAAGTTCGGGTCAGTTTCACGTTTAATCAAATTATAATAATACATTTGCAAAAATTAATTTCTCTTTCTCTCTCTTTCACACACACACACACACAAAAAAATCTTTTCCAATAATTTTACTTCTTCTTTAACGAAACTTGTTTTTTTTTTTTTTAAAGTACGTAATAAAAGAGAAAATAATAAAAAAAAAAAAAAAAAAAAGGTTCGTTCTGTCAAACGTAAAACAAGATAAAAAAAAATTTATTTATTTACCTCTAATAACCGCAACCAACTAAGTAATCTCCTAACTTTTCCACTACGGACGCCGCTTGTTGCGGCTGAATTGGATCTTCATATAAAGAAACGACAACGGCTGAAATGAAAATAAAAAATAAAAATAAAAAAATTATTATTTTATACAAACAAACGGTGTTGTTTTTTTTCTCTCTCTCTTTCTCTCTCTCTCTCTCTCACTCTCTCTTTCTCTCCCTATTCCCCTATCCTCCTTCCCCCTAACCCTATCTATCCCCCCCTCTCTCTCTTTCACTCTTACTCTCATTAACTTGTGCATTGAAAAGTTGTCTAAAGACACATTTTATTTTTAATTTTTTTTTTTTTTTTTTTTTTAAACGACTAAACCTACTACGTTAGGTTTTTGAAATTGAGACTGCTGTTGTTTTTAATAAGAAAAAAAGAAAAGAAAATAAATTTACCTTGCGTTGTTTTCATGCAATGTACTCCTACTTTTCCAAGCTTCGCCCGGATAACTCTATCTGTTCCTGATAGGTAGATGTAGCGCGTGCCTGCTAGCGTTACACCGGTTGAAGTTAAAATATCTTGTTTATCGAAACTTTGTACCAATTTGGTCAATTCATCTTTCGACAACTGTAAACAAAAACAAAAGCAAAAAAATTAATAAAATCAACCTTGTACAGGAGAAAAGGAAGGAATAAACCCCGAAACAATAAAATATGTCACGAAATAATAATAATAATAAAACTTAACAAAATTTATATTAAATGGCCCAGGCAGGCACACAGAATGACATTGACAAAGCCTTGATCTTGAAGAAGGGTCAACAACAAATCGAATCGAGTTCAAAAGAAAAGAGAGAGAAAGAAAAGAGAAAAGAAAAAGAAACTAATATAAAGTCGAGTTTAAAGACCTCAAAAAAATAAAATAAAATAAAAAGAAAAAAAACTCGATCAATAACAGCATCCATTTGCATACCTAAGGCTGGACATTTTGCTTCTAATTTTCTTTCTTTCTTTGTTTCCCATTCTCTCTCTCTTTCTTTTAATTTTCAAAATGGGGGAAACAACACACACACACACACCAAAATGAAATTTCTCTCTCTTAAAAAAAAAAAAAATATTTTTTTCGGGGCGTGCATAAAAACTTGTATTATTTCAACTTAAACATAGAACAACAACAAGTAAGATTAGTCTAATTTTTCTTTTTTCTTCATTTCAAATAAAATATAATTTTTTTTTTTTTTTTTTTTTGGGTGTTAACTTAGATATGAGTGGGTGTAACATAGAAATAAGTTTTTCTTTTTTCTTTTTTTTTTTTTTCCTTTTAATTTTTTAAAGGGAAAACATAATAATACTTTACAGTGAGTATAAATAATGTGAATGCAACAATTGCAAAAAAAAAAAAAAAAAAAAAAAAAAATCAACGACGACCTACGACTAAGTATTTATTTATATAAAAACATTTATTTTAATGTCAAAGCAAAAAAGCAACAAAAAAAAAAAGTATTAAAATTCATTATATTTATATATATATATATATAGCATAAGTGTCTGGCTGGCCATTATTTATTATTGTATTTAAAACAAATTTCCTTTTTTATTCTTTTTTTCTTATTTTTTTTATCTTTTATCACAAAGTTATATTATTTGTAAATGATGATAAAAAAAAAGAGAGGGGGAGAGAGAGAGAGAGAGAAACAAAGAGGAATTAAAATATTTCATATGCATAAGATGATGTTTGTCGAGTTTAAAAAACTATTCAATTTCATCAAATGTTACTACGATTAATGAGTAAAAAGAGAAAAAAAAAAAAAAAAACCAATTATAAAATAAATTTCAATTTTTTATGTAATTGATAAACATTTTCAATTGCACACACACACATAAAAAAAAAAATAAACAAATGAATTTGCATCGACCAACCCATTTAACCATGTTTGCAATTTGAAATTTTCTCTTTTTTTGGATTTCGTTTGGCCTATAAACTGTAGGCAATTTCTCAAGGTAACAAAAAAATAAAAATAAAAATAAAAATAAAAATGCATAAGAAACAAATGGATTAATAACACACTTTTTCAACGACAAATAAAAAAAAAAAAAAAAATAAAGAAATCAGGTCATCATTATTACATACACATGTTTCATTTTGATTAAATTAATTTTTTTTTATCCCAGGAACTAACCCACATTCGAGAGATTTTAAGTCTTCAACGATATCACATTACTCATAAAATCAATTAATAAATAGGTAAACATAAAACTTAATAAGATGTTATTATTATTATTATTACTTTTCAAGGATTTACAAATAATTTAAAATGAATAATGTGTCGTGTAATTACAAAAATTCTACTCATAATAAATGTCGTTTAAAAAAATTGTCTTGAGAAAGAAGGAAAGAAATAAAAATGGCCACAAAATATTGAAATTTAAATAAAAAAAATAAAAAACATTTTTATAAAAGATAATAATAATAATAAAAAGTAATAATAATGATAATAAAAATGGTAAAATTTGTTTTAACAAAATTGCGAAACGTAGGTCATGGTTTGTAAAGAAGCAAGTTTGCACAAATCAAATCATGTGTACAATTTTGAATAATCCATTAACGTTAAAAAAGAAATATATTAGATATATATTTTTTTGTATAATGAATCTTACATATGGCGATTTCAATAGAAAAAAAAAAGAAATTTTTTAGATTTTCCCTATAAAATTTATATAAATTATAATAAATTGTTTGAGTATGAATCATTAGAATTTTCCCAGTAATCCTTTATATATGATTCAACTTTTTTTTTTTTTTTTTTTTTTAACACCAAGAAGTTAAATCGACAAAGACGCCATATTGAAACTTTCTCTGTTTGTCTAAATTACATTTCTTATTTCTTATAAATTTAGCATTATTCAAACGATATTTAAAGGTTTCAAATAAAAAATTGTTTGGTAAATTTAAACAAAGAGAAATATTAGTAACGTAAGAGAAATGCAGCCATTTTAAAATGCAATGGGTCTTGCCAGCGCAGTACTTTTGATAAAGCAATTTAAACTATTAAATTTATGCGTAATTATTATTATCGTTGTATCGATTTAAAATTGATGAAACGAAATATGAGAATATTAGAGAAGGGAGAATAGGGGAAAAAAAATTAAAAGTCGAACAAATGCATTCGTTTCACCGGTTTTACAAAGACCGCCATCTTGCCGGGCCTGAGCTAGCACGAGGGACGTTTTTTTTTCCTTTTTCTTTTTTTTTTTTTTTTTTTCGTTCATTCAATTTCTACTTACTTCAAATCCTTCAGATTTAGCCCAAACATTGCCATCGTGTCCAACGATTGCAGCTTTTGTTACACATTTAGAAGCAAGTAATTGCTTCTCTACATAATCCTGCCAACTCATTTTGTACACAAACTACTGAAAATAATCACGGCACGCACAAACCGACGTCTAACTTTGACGACTGGAACTGAAGAATCGAAAGAAGTAGTTCCGAAATAGTTGTCAGAGTGAGAATGTTTTAAATTTAAATTTTCCTTACGATTTTTTCAAATTTATTTAATTTAAACTGAAATTTTTTTAATTTAATTTTTTTTTTAAATTCTTTCGCGAGAGAATAATTAAATTACGACTAAAATACTCGATAGTCAAAACAAAACTACTTTTTGTTTCTTACTCTAAAGTTAAACTGTTATGAGGTTTTTAGTTCTTAAATTACCCACCGGCGTTGGTGTTCCTAATACTTTGATATTCTAGGCGGTGACGTTTTTCAAACGAAATTCCCGCTCTTCGAAGTCTCACTTCTGATAAATATTAAAGAAAATCATATAAATTTCCAAGAAATTACAAATATATATAAATATAAAATGTGAGTAATATTAATAAATAAATAAATAAAAAATAAAATTACTTAATAGAATTGCGTTTTATTGCAACATTCGATACCCCCCCATTTCTCCCCCCCGTGGGAGGAAACTTGCATTTTACCCCTTCCTTATATAAAATAAAAAATTTTTTAATAATTTTCTCCTTTTATAATCATCATTATCACCAATTATTATTATTATTTAACTTCTTATAAAACTAAATCTCATAAACATTCATGAAGAAAACAATCAGAGAGAGGGGTGGGGGAGGGAACAAAAAAAAAAAATTCAACCTATTATAAATTTAAATATAATAATATATATAATTATAAGAAATCATTTCATTTCAATAAGTAGTAGTAGTAATTGTAATAATAGTAGTAATCAAACCTACTACTACCACCACCACTACCACCATTAGAATAAAATTTAATAAAAATATTTTTTTTTTTTAAAAATTTTTTCCCTCCTACCTTAAAAAAAAAAAATCAAAAATAAATGTTTTAACATGAAATAGCAAATATCATACATGATTTAAATTAATATTTGCATGTTTATAAATATCTCATCTTGAAAAAAAAAAAAAAAAAAAAAAATTTAATTGCTTGCACTTGCCAGGATGTTTAGTTTTAGTTTTAGTTTTAGTTTTTTTTTTATGTGAAACAAAATAAATTAAAAACAATTTCAGACAAAAAAAATGATGATTCTAATACGTTGGGTATAATAATATTTTTAAAATATTACAAATTTTTTTTTTTTTTTTTGGTTTAAAAAAACGTTTATCTTCCCTACCTCCACGTTTAAGATTTTCTTTTTCTTTCTGCCCCTCCCCTCCCCCAGGACTTTAAATTTTTAATATTACCCTAAATATTCCCTCCCTCCCTCCCTCCCTCCTCCTTCAACAAAAAACAAAACAAAAAATTTTGATTTGTTATTACAATTAATTCCAATCAAAAAATTTTTTTTTTGGGTATTATTATCATTATTATTATTAGGATTTCACTTGCACGTGCACGAAAACAAAAAAGTATTTATAAATATAAATATATATATATATATATATATATATACACACATCAAATTAAACATATTCATTGATTGATTGATTGATTGATTGATTTTTTTTTTTTTTTTTGCAGTTTCAAAGGTACTTGAATGTGTTTCCCATGTTTTTTTTTTTAAAATAAATATTTGGCCAATCGATAAATAGGTAGATAGATGATGATGATGATGATGATAACTAAATAAATTATATTATTTATTCGGGGTTTTGTCATTATTATTATTATTGGTTTCAAATAATTAAAATTTAATTAAAGGGAAGAAAAAAAAAAAAAAAAAAAAACTTTATTAAATAACAAAAAAAAAAAAAAAAAAAAAAAAATTATCAAGTACCGGATTTTAAAATAATAATAATAATCATTTTTTTTTTTGGAAATTTAACCACGATCATAATAATAATTTTAATATTATTATTTTTTATTTAATTTTAATGAAGTGAATGAAAAAAAAAATTTTTTTTCTCTCTCTCTCTCTCACTTTTTTGACAATAACCCAATCATGATTATTATTTAAAAAAAAAAAAAAAAAAAAAAAAAATTTCTATCAAATATCAGTAAAGCATGTAAATAATTATACATTAATTTTATTATTATCATTATTATTAATGTTTTTTTTTTTTTTTAATTTGTTTTTCTATCAATTTTTTCATTTTTTTTTTTTTTTTTGGCTTTTCTAAAAGTCTTTATTATCCTTTTTTTTTCTTTTTTTTTTTTTTTAAACTGATTTTACTTTTTTTTTAATTTTTTTTTTTAAATTTTTTTTTTTTTAGAATTTTTTTTTTAAAAACAGTTTTCCTTAAAATTTTCCCTTTTTTTTTTTTTATTTTTTTATTTTTTTATTTTATTTTTTAATGAACCAATGTTTTAGTTGTTGTTGTTGTTGTTGTAATATATGTACCGATAAAAAGGAGGTAAGGTAAAGGTAAAAACGTTTACATAATTATTAAGAAGAAAAACCCCTGTTTGCTGAACTTCAACAAGGAAATTTTGATCTTTATTTCCGAAAAATCTTCCAACAGCTCGACTGGCCAAATATGCCTGCAAACACAAATAAGAAAAATACTACTGTCAGAAATGCCAAAAATTATTTTTTTTTTTAATTTACTTTTTGTTTTAAAAAAAAAAAAAAAAAAAAAACTTTTTTTCCGATCACTTTTTAATCAGAAACTTGGCCAGAGACAAGAAGAAATATTTTTCTTTATTAATTTAAACAATCAAATTTTCAATGTGTCTCTTTAGCCTTACTTTCCTCCAATTCATCTTTTTTATAAAATTCAAAATTAAAATAAAATAAATAAATAAATAAATAAAAAAACAAGACAAGGCCAGAGGTTTCATAACATTTTTTTTTTTTTTTTTTTTTTGTAAAATTCAACAAACAGGGTTGAAAAATCTTAAAAATACGTAAAAAAACAATTAATAAACACAATTTTTTTTTTTTTTTTTTTTTTTCATTTTACTAAAAATTTTTATTAATATTATTAATATTATTTTAATAAAGGACGTACAAAATGGGCACTTTTGCAGTCTAATCAGAAAAATATCATCATCCCGTCCCCTACATCTTTTCTGATTAAAATAACCTTTCCAAAAGCCGACTAAACATTTGCACAAACATAAAAATTTTTTCGAAGGAAAATAAATGAATGAATGATAATAATAATAATCATTCATTTTTAATTGCAAGTAATTTAAAAAAATTTTTTTCTTTCTTTTCTTTTCTTTTCTTTTCTTTTATCATTAAAGCAAATAATAAACATTAAATTTTAAACACTTTTCTTTTTTTTTTTTAAATAAACAATTTGAATTAAAACACTAATACATTAAAAAAAAAAAAAAAAAAAAAAAAAATGTTAAATAAAATAATTATAATTTAAACAGTAGAGAAATCTTTCTTATCTTAATTAAGATTTACTACTACTATTACTACTACTACTACTACTACTATCAACTTATGTATGTACCTTATATTCTTGAATGAAATTAAAAAAAGAAAGAATGAATGAAAATTAGGTATAATCCCAACAATTAAGACCTCATAAATGCATAAAAAAAAAAAAAAATAAAATAATAAAACACAAATCAATAATTATTACAATAATATTAATTCCGTTATGTTAAAAATAAGATTTTTTATAATTTTTCCAATTTTAATTATAATTGTTATAACCATTTAAAAACCTTAGTATATTATTATTATTATTATTAATATTACTACTACTACTATTACTTTTAGCTTTTTTTTTTTTTTTTCGTTTCTTTTTCTTATTCTTTGTTTTAGTAATTTACTTTTATGAGTGTACTAAAATTGATTATTATTATTATTATTATAATACAATACTTATTATTATTATTTTAAATAAAACACTAGAAACTATTTTTTTAAAAAAAAAAAAAAAAAAACTCGGCCCCGAGGGGGCCGAGAAAAGATCAACGAGCGATCGTTTGATAAACGATCGACGTTTCTCTCACACCTCCTACTATATTATAAATATTTGTTTTGTTTTCTGAACGAAAAGTCAATGTAAAAAATACGCCCGCCTTTCACAAAGAAGGAGTAAAAAAAAAAAAAAAAAAAAAAAAAAAAACTATAGAAACTCTCGAGAATTTAACGCAAATAGACAAAAAAATTATGTGCTCATATTGTATGCACTCACGTCACGATTATTAATCATCACAAGTCCAAAAAAAAAAAAAAAAAAAAAAATAATAATAATAATAAAAAAATCAAATCACTTCAAGCGCGGTCAAAAAAGGCTTTACGATACTCACAGCTTGGGCTTTGGGACACAAACCAAACAGCCTAAATCAAATCAGCTACGTTCATTGGCATTTCAATGATATGCGTATTGAAGAATTGTTCTATATCGTTCAGGGTTCTCTTGTCTTGCTCGGTAACAAAATTTATAGCGACACCTTTTCTTCCAAATCGTCCACTTCTACCAATTCTATAATTATTAAAAATAATAAATCAAATATTAATAAAATGTTATTGAGGAAATAATCAGAAAGAAAGAAAAAAAAAAAAAAAAAAAAAAATTTGTTTGGCAATGATTAAAATTTTTATGCAAAACAAGCAATTAAAAGTGAAAGAGTTTAAGAAATTTACAAGGTCAATACACAAAAGTTTGTTATTGTAAACTTTAATTTAACTTTAATCTCTGAGATAAAAAAAAAAAAAAAAAAATTCAATCAATAATATATAGAAAATATGTTATCAAATGATGAGAATTCAAATGTGATGATAAGTTTCCTACTAATTATAATATATATATATAAGTTAATTATAAATTAATGCTTTGGTTTAATGTTGAAATTTCAAACGCATCTTCTTGTCGCTAAACAAATCAAGTTTTGTTGTAAAAAAAAAAAAAAAACATTCAAATTTACCTATGAATATAGTTTTCACGATTAGAAGGCAGGTCGTAGTTGATAACTAAAGAAACCTGTTGAACATCAATGCCACGAGCTAAAAGATCAGTTGTGATGAGGACACGGCTAGATCCCGATCGGAACTGACGCATAATAAATTCTCTTTCACGTTGCTCCATATCTCCATGCTGCATAAAAATCAGACATCACATTATTAAAAAAAAAAAAAAAAATGAAGTAGCATTCACTATTCGAGAAAAAAAAAAAAAAAAAAAAAAAAATATTAATCCTTGTTTGAAGCAAAAGAGGATGGGACCCAAATATATGAGTAATTGGGCACCGAAGGCTTACTTCACTTTTTTATTCTTCCTCTATTAAGCATTCATGCTCTACAATCAACTATGTAAAGGCATGCCAAGATAGAGGGTGAATTTTGCCACAAAAAAAATAGAAACCTTATTTTAAAAAAGTCGACTGGAGTCGTCGCGACATACCATTGCAGAAACAGTGAAATCTTTCTTATGCATGAAATCCGTTAACATGTCTACCTTACGCCTTGTATTGCAAAATATTACAGCTTGAGTGATAGTTAGTGTCTCATAGAGATCGCATAAAGTTTCAAATTTCCATTCTTCACGTTCGACAGAAATGTAAAACTGCTTTATACCCTCCAACGTAAGTTCATCTTTTTGAACCAAAATATTAATGGGGTTTCTCATAAATTTTTTGCTGACTTCTAAAACATCATGGGGCATTGTAGCTGATAATAATATAACCTAAAAAAAAAGAAAAAAGAAAATTTAAATGAGTCATTTATCTCTCATAATAGTAATGTAATAAGCAAAACTTCAATATTTTTTTATCACAAAAAATAAAAATATTAATCCTTGTTTGAAGCAAAAGAGGATGGGACCCAAATATATGAGCAATTGAGCACCGAAGGCTTACTTCACTTTTTTATTCTTCCTCTATTAAGCATTCATGCTTTACAATCAACTATGTAAAGGCATGCCAAGATAGAGGGTCAGAAAAAAATAAAAACCTTATTTTAAAATTCTTTAACAAAAAAAAAAAAATTGTACCTGCACATCAACATCCAGTGTTTGGAACACATCATGAATTTGATCCTTAAATCCTCGAGACAACATTTCATCAGCTTCATCCAGAACAAATATTTTGATCCTATCAGTACGTAAACATCTTCTATTAATCATATCATAAACACGACCTGGAGTTCCAACTACAACATGTACACCATGTTCTAGTTTTCTCATATCTTCACGTACATTAGTACCACCAATGCAAGCATGACACATAGCATTCATAAAATCTCCCAAAGCAATTACAACTTTTTGGATCTGAAATTTTAAATTATTTTTTTAATAAAATACAATAAAACAAATTTTTTAAATAAAATTTTTGAAATAAGTTGTAATTTTGTAAGTGAGTAATAATTATGGTAATTATTAAAACAATCTTTCACCTGTTGAGCCAATTCTCGAGTTGGTGCAAGAATGAGGGCTTGACACTCATTAATACTAGTATCTATCTGCTGCAAAATTGAAATTGAAAAAGTAGCCGTTTTGCCAGTACCAGATTGGGCCTGTGCAGTTACATCATGACCTTTGATACAAGGCATAATGGCCCTTTGTTGAATTGCTGATGGTTTCTCAAAACCATAAGCATAAATTCCTCTAAGAAGTTCTTCTTTAAGCCCCATATCATCGAAGTTGTCAACAACTTCATCATAGTAATTTGCGAAACCTTCATCATTGTCAGTGCTAGGTGTTGCCTCTCCAGATGGATCCTGTTCACTTGGTCCATTTTTTGATTCACCCCCAAGCCATTCCTCGTTTCTGAAAAAATTTATGATAAAATTATTGGGCACGATCTATAGTTTTAAAAAAAAAAACAGAATTAGCAGGGAAAAAAATTAATTATTTAAGGGGATTAAAAAAATTGGATTGAGCAATTTTTTGCAATAAAAAATAAAAAAATAAAATAGGCACAAAAACAGAATACTATTAAACAATTGATGAATATGAAAATTCTAAGGCTATAGTGCTTTTGCACTAAGCTTTGACCAACGTGGCCTTGAACTCATCTATTACTCAAAAAATTTTTTAGTATCAGCCTTAAAAAAATTTAAATAAAATTACATTTATAAATTGTAATTAAACAAATAGGAAAAATGAGTATAGAAAAACGACTATAACTTCCACGTTTTCATATGATGAATCATTTTGACAATGAAATCATTTTTGACGTTACCGTAATGGTTAATACAAAAATAATAACTATTATAAGATAATAAGAAATCAAAAACGAAGTAAAATATTCTTTTCGAATAAATACAAAGCCAAATACAAGCATGCTTGTACTTAAAATAGGACGTAATCCAGCATAGCCTACACGCCACGCCATGTTTGAGGGCATGAGCTCGTCGGCTACATTTTAAATACACAAGAATTTTGGTAACAATTGACAATTACTAAATAAATAATCACTTTTAACCACGTTCACATAAAGATTTATGTAAAAGAAACTTATGATCACCATTTAAATAAAAAAAACTCAAGTATTTTTTCATTTACCTTCTCTCTGAATTATTATAAGACATATTCCAACTATTCTTGAGCAAGAAAGGAAGTTTATAGTGACGTCAAAGCAAATATTAATCCGCCATTCATGCACTCACATCAAAAGAAAAAAAAATTAAAAAATTACTTTATTTTATTTTAAAAATACTTTTTATAAAAAATAAATAATAATAATAAAATATTGAAAAGTTTAAAAAGTCAATTATAAAATAATAAAATTAGTTTTAATTGGGGACTACTTTTTATTTATCAAGAACCATATACTTTTACTCAGTGTTGCCAAACTTGAACTTTATTGCAGAGTAGCTAACTACTATTAGAAAAAAATTTCATGGTTTCCCGTTATATGGAAAATAATTGGCCACATAATTTATAATAATTTTATTACAGATATTTGTTTCACCTAAAGAAAACATTTAATTAAATTACTCCAAACATTTTTTTTTAAACTCAAAAATACCTAAAAGAACTTTTTGATAATATTTTTCTCCGTCGTTTAATTACGGCTCATTAATTAAACCTTTTAAATATTGTTACTTTTAAAGAAGATAATAATAATAATTAAATGATAAGAGAAAATAATTTTAATTAAAACCCCCACGCGAAATTCATGCAAATTTTTAATAATAATTTATTTATTTTTTGGTTAATTATTTTAACGTGATTTCAATTGTCTTACGATTTAAGTAATAACCGTGACCTTCACATTTAGCAAAAAAAAAAAAAAAATTGATATATTTCGAGGTATTTGCACTTTATCTTTGCAAAAAAAAACAAAAAAAAAATTTTCCAACTCAGCAAAAATTTTCCTTATATTTTGAAAAAAATAAAAATTTTATTTCCACTCAATTAAATTTTTTTTTTATTTTATCTCAATGAGTACATTATTAATAAATTTAAAGGACAAAAAATAAAAATAAATTAATATTTCTTAAATTTAATATTTATATATTTATGTAAAAATGTTTTTGTGTAGCATAAAAAATAATAAAAAAAGACAAAACAAAAAAAATAAAAAATATAATACAATTTTTTAAAAATATGATATTAGTTATAATTTTAATTTTATTATTTAATAATAATAATAATAATAATAATAAAAACCCTGACAGTT